CCACTGGCCCACAGCGACATGCACAACGACATGCCGAGGCCGAATGCCATGTCTAAACCCCGTACAGTACTGCAGCACTGAGGATTACTTCTCCTCCAGTGCCAGATGATTTACAACATGTTACAACTCCCAAAGTTGCACTCGCGCGAGTTCTCTGATGTGCCAGCTTGCTCGAATTTGATCTCCCAAAGTCCGCGCCTGGCACCGCCTTGGGGCCCGCATACCCGTTTCCAGGTGTCCTCGAAGCTCCGAAGGGCAAAGCGAGCCGATCGATGGACAATCAGAATGAATCAGTTACAAAGGCTGTATGTAGCCTTGGGTGAAAGATCCGGGGTGTTGGGGGTGTTGGGCTCGGGTCCTGCGAGTAGATACGGACGCCTTCGGCCACATAGTGGCGGTTGAGGCCTCGAATCAGCCAAGCCGACACTTGTATTGGACTTGCATGCGTTGTCTGCTCTCTCTCACTCTCTCACTCTCTCACTCTCTCACTCTCTCACACTCTCTTTTTCACCCCTGCCTCTCAGCCGCGCGCCAAAATTCATAGTCCATGCGATGCTCAACAAAACGCAGGACAGTTGCCATCTGCGACATGCATTCCACTCACCCCCGATTTCCTTTCTTTCTTTAAGGGCATGAGGGATTTCCTCACTTCCGTCCTTCCTTCCTTCCCGCCGAAGTGGCTGGGCTCCCGTGAAAGGGCGCGTGAGGGTAATTTGGTTTGCCCCACACCCACCTGCGGAACTCCTCTGTATTGGGGATCTCAAACCGCGATCGACTCTGTTCTTCACTGTTCTCAGGGCAGTGCACATTGGTCCCAAGAGCTGCGGGTAGAAATCCTCCTTGCGATCCCCTGCCTTAGCAATTTGGCCCTGCAGCCGTCATCTCCCGTCCTCCTTGCCACATGATCTTCCCGAATGCTCCCTGCCTTCTCGTTGAATGCCCGGGCGGCAACAGAGGCCGCATAGCGCACCTCCAGCGCAGGATTTAGTCATGTCTTGTATGATGTCTACATCTCTACCTTCACCCACTTTCCTCCACTTTCTGCACCTGGCTCCAGTTGTCCTTGATGCCCTTGGCCACGACTTGAACCTCCAGAGCGAAGTGAAGTGAAGAGGGAACAAGCATGGAGCGAAAAGGAGTTCGAACGAAAGAGGTCAACGGAGTCAAGTCTTTCAAATTTCAAATGCAAAGTCTCCGGGCCGTCTTGGGTGCCACGGATGTCATGAACGCCTCATGGGAACAGACCTGACTTGGGAGTCACAGACCGTCGAATGTGGAACAATGTGGAACAACTTGGCAACCTCGAAGACATTCTGGAGGGCAAAGTAGGTGTACTCCCGCACAAAACGGTTTGTGTGCCTTGTCGCTTTAGCCCCGTCCAGACTGCAATGGAGCGATGCATGGCGAAACAGCAGAGCTGGTCACAAACGAGGACTCCAGAGTACAGTGCAGAATGCTGCCAGGGCGCTTCGAGCATTCCTGCATCAGGTCCAACATGGTGTCATCCTTACAATGGATACAGTCGGATACAGGGGACAGGGCCGTGGACCCTTGCAGCGCTCCACAATACTTCAAGGGATAAAGATTGGATAAAGGGGGATAAAGATTGGGCCACCTTGCGACTTGGGAACCCCCAAAGGGGCCTCTTTTTTTGCGCCGAGGCTTTGGCGATGCGTGGTGTGAAGGCTGCACCGCAGCCCTGCATCATGGCCTGTGATCTCGGTGATGCCAAGGTCCGACTTGCAAGCTCTTCCAAGTGTCCCAAGAAGTATTCCGCATGCATTCACAGGCAAGTTGAGCCTGCAGAGCTTCCATAGACGTCTCAAGGGACCGCCAGCCTGAACCATTACGGCGGGTGCCTACCGGGCCTACCGGCCTTGCACTATCCACATCACTGGACATGAGTTTGATCAACACTGTGCCACTATGCTGCTGTGGGGAGCATACTCAAAAAACTCCACAAGCCAAACTGCTCAAATGCTGAAGCCTTCAGTATCATGCAGGAACGTAGGGGGCGCGTCAGTTGCGTCCGGGTAACCTGCCAAAGTTCAGCGTTGATTCTCGTGATCAAGCGAACTCCATTGCCTGAAAGCGCGCCTGCCATTTCGGGTGGCGATGCCTGTGGGACAGAATAAGAAGGCACTGAGCGGAGCACAGATGAGCAGAGCTTTCTAAAACCGAAAATGTATCTGTGGCGTGTTCTCAGTGCCGAGTCAGTAAAGAGTGGATGCGATTTTTGTGCATGCCACTTTTGCACCGCCCGCCTCCTCGGGTCTTTTGAACTTGTCTCGAATGTCATCCAAGACAATCTTGCCCATCTTGTCGTAGACGCACAGCCTTGCGTGAAGGAAACGCTTCCACTCTATCACCCTTTGTTCTCAATCTTGCTCTGGCACCCATCTCGGACGCAGCACTCGCGCAGCACGGCTGCAGTGGCCTCCCGCCAGAGTGAAAGATGTCACAAGACCGCGCAGCTTGCACAGGCTGTGCAAAGAGACTACACACTCGCCTTCCGCACCCGGTACTCCTTGTCTGTCAAGAGGCCTGGCACCTGAAGCCGGGTCACATTCAAAACACAAGCAGGGGAAAACCTCGCACGCTTCCAGTCCACCTTGCTCCGCCTCGATGTCGCAATTTCTCACAGGACTCATGCTTTGATATATCCTGTCAAAGCCCCAAACCATCCTGAGCCCATCTGGTTGCCTTCGTCAGGACGGCCTCCCGAAAAGAGGACCTCAATGGTGACTGAGGTGGCTGTGAGGGAAAAAGTTGAGTGGCCATCAATTCTCGTGAGCTTGAGAAACAAGAGAAGTCTTGCGCAGCTCGCTGCTGTAGTTGAGAGTGTAGTAACTCTATTTGTGATAGCAGTAGCAAGTAGCACTGCTGTGAGATCTGCCTTTGCTGGTGTTAACGCCATCTGCCCTAGCAGCGGTGTGGGGTCCTCACGTACTTTACGTACTTGTTGATCTTGTCGCTGATCAGCTTCCACAAGACACTACAGGCGCGGTTGCTGCGGTTTTTGGCACGAATCCCTTTTTGGCCTTCTGATGCAAACAGAGTTGATGCACCCTGGAGAACTCTGATGCTGAAAGGGTAGCCTGGGTCACCGAAGGGCGACTCGAAAGTTTGAGCCGGAGTGCCCATCCCAAGCTTTGATCGCCTCGGCGGCGGCCTGTAGACCACCCTGCTTGGCCTGGAGAAAAGTCGGGGATAACCTCTAGTAGAACGAGTACCAAGGCGACCAACCGGATCGTCGACTTAGTCGACTCTCTCTTGTCTGAGAGGCTCTCCTCTACTTCTTCCCTCACTCTACGAACAAAACTCCCCCAAAAAGGGGTTCAAACCCGTGGAGCGCCCGGGGCGATGCTGAGCTTCCGCTCTTTTCAGAATTGTTTTTTCTTAACACGCGTTGCTTTTCTTGAGCTTGTCGACACTCTGTTTAGACTCTGTGCATCCACTGTGAGCTCTCTCTCTACCTCTTTTTTTCATATGGAACTTTTTTTCAAAAGGCTACCTGGCTACCCACTCTTTTGGATTACTACCCCCTAACCCAATTTGTTAGGCGACTTTGTGAGAAAGCAGCCGCTCGGATTCGGCCACATGTTCCATCAGACTCTCACACGTCGCAAGCCAGGGAACCAGGGAAGTCTGTTGAAACGCTATCCTTATCCAGAATTGTGAGCTCACGTCAAGGGACTGGCCAACGAACATGTGAGGCGGACAGTTGCTTACTTGGCCATAAATGCCCCAAAAGACTGGTAAAGACTTTGACTGCCGTAGTCATTCCGCGCCTCCCACGCATCCGAGTCTAAAGCCTCCAGTGCCAGAGTTTCCACCTGAGGCCGAAGGCTCACCTAGAACAACACGGACACACACACACAAAGACAGACACAGACAATACCCACGATACACCACAACGAAAAACAAGAATACACAACACACCCACACTGCAACAAGTTCTCGAAGCAGCCCGAAGCAGACTAAAAAAACATGTTGCGCCGAACCTCCTTGGAGGCATAGCGGCCTGCTCTCATGGCCTGAGCTAGCAGACTAGCAGCTAGGACCCAAGGGCGGCCTCCAAGGGGGGCACATCGCAGAACCAAAATCCCTGACATGTACAAGGACTCGTGATCCGGAGGACTTTGCAACCGTCTGCTGCCCCATTCCAAGTCCTAGGAAGCCCATGGCCCTTTATCTCTGCAGAACATGAGCACATGAAGTACGACTTTGCCAGATGGTGCGTGTTTGGATTGCGAGCAAGAGCGGTGCTTGGTAACCTGCCTTTGATTGGAATCTGCTTTGCCAGAACCGGAGTCAGTGAAATCTACTTTTGTGCGCTACTTTAAATGAGTGATAGCTGGTGCCTGCCTCGACCAGCAGCTCCAAGGAACGTTCGCGGGTGAGGCCTGTGGCGCTGCAGAAACAAGCGGTCTCCACGAAAAGGCCCACGAAAGCGCAGAGTTCTCCAAGAGTTCAAAGCCCGGCGCTTTTGAAGTCTCGCAGTCCTGCGAAGACCTGCAGGGCACATTTTCATGATGGTTCCTCTCTGCCCTCGTTGTTGGGGCCTCCACTGCCGACTCTCCACCTGATGCGGAAAGGCATCGGGTCACAACATCAACCAACGTCCCACATGGAGCACACATCCCCACATTAAGAAACGACACCACACGCCTTCGACGAAGGTCATGGCTGTTGGCTTCTCTAGTTTTGTGCCGGGGAGTATCCGTGTCTGATCTAAACCACGGGCCCAGGCATCTCTATCCTCGAAGAGCCACAAAGAAAGCCTATGTGACCCCCTATTATGCATGGGATGTCTTTCGTGTCGTGATTAAAAAGTTCAGCTTTTGAGCCAAAGGCCCGAGCTGCCCCCGATGCAAGCAGAGAACTTCCCCCAGAACATGAGACAAACATTTTGTCGTTGTCTGGCGGTGTGATGCGGTGTGATGCGGTGCGATGCGGTGTGACGTGGTGTGATGCGGTCGCGCGTGGAAGAGCCGCGCCTGCCAAGGGCAGGCCACGGAGTTGAAAGGCTGGGGCCCCTTGGGCCATGTCCGACACCGAAGGGCGCGCTGCCGGCGGTGCCGGGCTGCACCACCGCCGGCACCACCGCCGGCACCGGTGCAAAACGAGGAGCCGGGGCCTGGAACCAATCTCCCTCGTGCCGACGCTTTCCCAATCTTTTCCAATTTTATGGCCCCCTGCAATCGCTCCCTTGCGGCCCTTGCATCTCCTGCCCCTGGGAGCCTCGGAGCCGAGCTGTGCGATGAAGGAGCTGAGGCCCTGGGTTTCCAGCGCTCGGCTTGGGCAACTTGGAAACGCTCTCTCACTCTCTGTCCCCTCAACCCTCTCATGCACTGTTGTTGGCTGGCCCTCTGTGACTGTGTCCGGTCCTTCAGGGACTCGTGGATGCCGCTCCACTGGTCCTCTCAACGCGCACAAGCGTGTGTCAGTGTGTCAGTACCTGAAGCATCTGCCAATTTGAGTTCGCTGATTGCCCCTTACCCACGCAGGCGCTCCGTCTGGATGTGTCCCACGGCTTTTGTTCATTCATAAAATGGGAAAAAGGTCAATGGGACGTCTAGTGACCAGTGAGGGAGCGAAGAGCTTGCCCAGCAAAGGTCCTCCGCCGCCATCGCCTCGGCCAGTAGCACGCCTCCGCGCATTGTGAGATATTGTTGAAGGCTTGTCCAAAAGGAGTCCGGGAATTCGATTTGTCGTTGGATACTTTCCGAGACTTCGCACTTTGTCCCCGCCTGCGATGCTCTTCTGCTTTGGCAGCCTGACCTTGAAGCTGCGTTGCAGAAACCACGACGACGAGTCAATGAGCATCAGCGCATCAACGAGCATCAATATGAGCCTTCTTGGAGGTGTCGGCAGGTGCCGGCTTCGGCTTCGCCTTTGGCTCTGTGCGGCCTTGCCAAACAGACTGCCCAGGACACGGCCAGCAAAAAGCAGTCGCGATGAGCCTATATTCGAAGTTACATGCGGCTCAGAGACGTGGGGGAACTGCTCGTGACAGTGGATGCAAAAAGAAGAAGTATGTAATGAATGACGACTGTTGCATACTATGGAAGCTCTCAAGAAAAACTATCAGAAACTTCGTAAAGATTCGAGACACTGGGCTTCAAGCGCTCTGGTCTCCGCTCTGTCCACGGGGCCTCGGACGAAGCAAAAGAGTTCTCTCTGAGTGCATTCTCTGAAGTGCATACTCTCCCTTTGTAGCACGCACGCACGCACACACACTGACACACTGACTGGGATATCTGTGGGGACACGCTGGGATATGAATATGGTAACGAATTCGTCAAAAGGCTCCGGCGGAGCGCCAGCGAGGACGCGGCGTGCCCAGCCGTCCTGGCCGACCCAAAGCTTGGAAGTACTCGGACAAGTCCACCTGGACGGAGGCCTCCACTGCGACCTCGCACGCCGAGCTCAACCTCGCAAGTTAAGGCGGCAGCGCGTCAGCGCGTGAGGTGGGAGCAACAAGTGTAGGCCAAGTCGGGACTTGGTGCCTGCGGCCTGCGCTCGACCTCGCTGACTCCTGTCCACTGCTTTATGTTGCTGTCAGATCGAGCGGTCAGTCTGAGGGACCTTCACCAAGCGCCGCCTCCGCCATTTCTACCTCAAGGCTAGGCAAGCTAGGTGCGGTGTAGGGCGGTAGGCTGATGCTTTTGGTTGTCCCACCCACATCCCCTGCCCCTTTCTCCTTTTTGCCAGCTTCCATGGTTTTTGAGTGGCCCTTTCGGACGAACTGTTGAAGTGTATACTTACTTCAAATGCCAAGTTCCAGCAGTCATCTCAGGCCCAGTTGGCCTGGTAGAAAGACGAGTAAGGTTCCCAACACAAGGAAGCCAAACAAGTACAAGAGAGTCTTGATGCCCTCAGAGTCTCCATCTCCTTGGCCAGGAAGCTGCAACATGCAACATCTGCGACATTCTGTGATCAACTGAATATTTCACATTTGTCAATCTTGCTGCCGAGATGCCGGCTCTCTCCTGCTCAATGGCAGCCTTTTTTTGGAGAGCCTCCTGCTGGGATTTCATGTTCCGCCACCAGTCCACCTCCCAATCGGTTTTGCCCATCTCCTGAAGATGCAAGCTCAGACAACGCAACGTCACCGATCTTCACTGAACTTCACCGAACCTCTCACACTCTGAGCTACTTCTGAGCTACGAAGGAAGGTAATGGCATCCTCGGGGTCGATGTCGCTACCATCGTAGGCTCCCTTGGGCTTCACGCCTGGCTCTGCATTGCCTCCTCAGCCAAACACAGCTAACAAAAAAGCCTCAAGCAGCCACCGAGATCGGCGAGAACATGCAAGTGCTGCCGATCGTGTCTATGAGTCATTTTGTTCTGTGTAGTTCGTGTGAGCCTAGAAAGCCAGGTTCGGGGAGCAGCTTGAACACGACCACCGCACCCACCAGGAGGACTGACAGCCTCGAGGCGCGCTGTCCTTGGTGGTAGCATGACGCCAAGAACGTGTGGCATGAGTGTGCCATACGCATTCGTTCACGAAGGAACTCGTTCTACATGTCCATGTGCCTTCTTCAAACATCTTGGGACAGGGGTCTCATCTCGTTGACTGGCAAAGGCGACCGGTTTCGTCCCATGAGTCCCATGTCTTTGAACCAGAACGCCACAAAATGGCAGAACATGGCAGAGGCACTCTGTGAAGTAACGCGACACATTGTATATATATATATATATATGGTACCCCCCCCCCCCCAGTGACCTACCCTTTTTCGCCTTGTCTCAAGTCACCCAGCTGCACTGCAAGCAAACTCGGTGTGCAATATAGCGTATTTCCTAGGGCGTAGACTAAAATACAACTAAAATCGCATACACGGGACAGTAGAAAAACCAAAATTGCCAAAACCAAAAAAACCAAAAAAACCAAAACCAAAACAACCAAAAAACCAAAACCAAAAAACCAAAAACACAAAAAAAACCAATTTTCCGGGACTCTCAGGAAATCCCTATGAGGCTTCTCCAAGAGTCCCGGAAAATTGTTTTTTTTGGCATTTTTGGCTTTTTTGGTTTTGGCATTTTTGGTTTTTTGGTTTTGGCATTTTGGCTTTTTGGTTCGCCTTCACAGTCACGAGGCAACAACTACGCATTTTTAAGTGTGCTTATGCTAATTGTGCTTTTCAGAACTAGTATACAAGTGGTCTTTCTAGTGCTTCAGAACTATTTGTTTCGTTATTATGTAAGTAGAGCCGCTAGTGTTTAGTGCATCTTTTGGTTGTACTCAAGTGTAGTAGGCCTTATTCAGCCATTACTTGGTGCTCTGGTAGCTCAATTCGCATGGAGAATATTTGCCTGGTAAATGCGATTAATTATCTAGAAGCAGCATTTGCAATACTTGTCTTGAGAAAAAGCGTTTATTGCTTAGAATTGTTTGCTTAAAAAGTGACTCCTACTCGTCCAGGAATACCCCAAAACCCTATAATCCAAACTTTACCAGAGATTCTCCTGAAAAGCTTGCGCTTTTGGATGTTTTTATGTATGTGTGAATTTGCTTGTGTATGGCCTTCACTCAGTACTTTTCTAGGATTCTTGTGCATTTTTTAAGCCTGATTGTGCAAGTTGCGTTTTTCAAGCATAGTATATATGTGGTCTTTATTGACTACTTCAGACATCTTTGTTTCATCGTTATGTAAGTAGAACCGCTTCTATTTCCATTATTGTGTATTCACTTGAGTCAAATTGGGCTCTTTGCTTAATAATTACTCTAGTAGCGAAATTCGCATAGAACCAAGAAAAATGTTTCACTATTTGATTAATACTTTGCCTCGTACAAACACAATTGTATAAATAAATTAGTTGCTCAACAAAACATTAATTGCCCTTGAAACGCACAATTTGCATAGAAAAACACTGATCTAAACATCTAAAAACAGCATTGTCCGCTTCAGATTCAAAATGTAGATTCTTCCAATGCTAGCTTATCGGGGTCTGTGAGGTGGGTGTCCCAGTAACTGTCCTTCATTACCCGGTGATTAACTACGCGACTTTTGGGCCTTCTTTGTTACTTTTTGTTAAAAAGGCCTAAAAAGGCCTAAAAAGGGTAGGTCGCTGGGGGGGGGGTAGCATATATATATATATATGTATATATGTATATATGTATATATGTATAATATCATGGAGAGCTTTCAAAAACAGTCAGCTATCTAGATCCATCCTTGTGAGGTGGGTGCCAGCGCAGCTGGCGATGGTGACCTGTCTGGTCCGAAGGGCTCCCCAGCCTTGGAGAGAGTGAAAAGCGTGAAGCACACAGTGCTTGTTTACAAAAACGTGGGTGTATGACGGTGTATGTGTGTAGCAGGGTAGCATTAGTGTACAAATTAAAGCCCGCAAGTTGCTCAACGAGTGCACAAGTTCCTTGTGGGTCGGACAACTGGAAGTTGCGTCGAAAACGGGGTCCGCACGAGTCCGGTGAGAAACTCCTCAATGATGTCCTCTATAGAAAACCGACAACATAGATCCGATGCCTTCCCGCGCGGCTTCACTCTCTTGCCTCCTGGCCCAGCTCCGCCTTCTCAGTCTGCAGAACGTTGCATGATCAAAGGACGACGAGCAGCATGAGAGGGAGGGAGGGAGAGAGAGAGAGGGAGTGTGCCCTCTTGGAGTTGCGTGGTCTGCTCTGGCTCGAAGCTTCTTCGGGCTTGAGAATGTCAACAGTTGGAAGTCGGCCGCGTTTGCTAAACTTAGCGCTTCTTCTTTTCGGTCCCTGCCTTGACTTGGACCACCGGCCCCCTTGGTGTTCTGGGTGTTCTGGGTGCTCTGGTCCTGGCAGCTGCCAGGCGCAACGCAGCAGACACAGGACTTAGTCAAACATGAACCTTTGCAAACCCTGGTGATTCGCATCCCCTTGCAAATGTGTGAGATGTGCAGAGCGCCAGTGACGGCCAGGACTGCTGAGTGGGAACGGCCAGCAGCCACTGCAACCTCAGTTGCTCGGTGCTGATTCGTGAATCGCGCGCCAGGGGGTTTCCGTCTTGGACGTAATCCAAGCCCTCTCAGACTCGAGCAAATTTTGCGGAATACTAACGCATTCAGCCGAACGGTGGACCAGTAGAAAAATCGGATCGGATGAGTCGGAGTCTCTCGCATGCACCGAGGCCGAGACAACTGCGGCATGTTCTCGCTCGTATATGGAGTTTTGCCAGAAATCTGTACCCTAAACTGCTAGCCTAAACTGTAAGGCAGCTGCAACAAAGGCCCATGTAACAAGGGCCCTACACAATTTGGGGCTGGCAAAGCCGAACGTCTCGGTCAATGGCAAGGCCAGAAAAGAGCCACAGAAGAGTTGGCCTTGTCCGGATAACAAGACCGATTGCACCTACTCTAGTCCCACCCTTCCTTAAAGGTGTCGTGACATGTCGCGACATCCATACATACGGGCAAATTAATTGTACGTAGTACACTTATTCTTTTGACTGCAAACGGAACTGCTCATCCGCGAGACCACGATGTGCTTGCATGTCTTGCATGCGTACGCGGAGAAGCGTTCTGGGCACAGCCGCTTGGGATTTCGACCAGCTCAGGGCTTCAAAGCAACTCAACCGGCTGTGATGTGCTGGGATGCACGCAGCCCGGTGAGGGGAGGGCGGAGAGAAGTCGCTGATGACCAAAGGCCTGCTCGGGGCTGCTCAGAAATTCGCACCGGGGCTAGAGGAGAGAAGTCGCATGAAGTCGCTATCCGAATTTCGCTGTTGATTTCAAGCGAGGTGATAGCTTCCGCTCCTTGAATCTTGACTAGATGAGGACGCATTGTGACGTTGTGAAGTTGCCGAGTCGGCCGATTCAAGTCTTCGGGTGCAATTTGT